GGGACATTGCTCGGTTGGTGGTGGAATGGAAAGGTGAGTCTTGCATCCAACTGTTTGCGGTACGTGCTAACGCCTCTGCAGCGTCTTCCATGGGACTTCGATCTCGACACTCAGGTGTCCGACAGCACACTCCAACACCTCGGCGCAGTACACAACCAGACGAGATACCACTACACTTCCTACGACGGCGCCGTTCAGCGCGAATACCTCCTCGACGTCAACCCGTGGATCTGGGAGCGCGAGCGTGGCGATGGCATGAACATTATTGATGCGCGATGGATCGACCTGCGCAACGGCCTGTTCATTGACATCACCGGATTGAGCGAGACACATCCAGACAAGAACCCGGGGCAGTGGGTTTGCAAGAACTACCACCGGTACGACACATCGGAGCTGTATCCCATGCGGGAGACCATGTTCGAGGGCGTCCCGGCGAAGGTGCCGTACAACTACGACAAGATACTCGTGGACGAGTACAAGGAGAAAGCCTTGATAGAGACCAACTTCCATGGGTAAGCAGAGTTGTTCATTCGCATGGACAAGTCATAACTAACGGCGCATAGACACCGATGGGATCCTGATGTCAAGGAATGGGTCAAGAATGAGGAAACGCTGAAGAAGGAAGAAGAAGAGCGCAAGAAGAAGGAAGAAGAGGAGCAGAAGAAGGTGGAGGAAGAGTCAAAACTGGATTAGTATTCCAGTTGGCCGTAATGCAGGTGGTGTCGATGGCTTATACTGGGTTATAGCCCAGGCATTGCCAGCGTATGTTTCTAGTACACGCTTTATTGATACCCGGCGACGTTGAATTTAAGTAGCAGATGTAACGATTATTGATCAGTGAGCACGGGAACAAGCGAGTGCCCAGGTGAGATTCCCTGGTTACCAAGATCTGCGAATGTGCTCAACGGCCCGATGGCGATGGTGGTGAATAGTCAACAGCATGGCTGAGCATCGGAGTTTGGTGATGACAAATTCCGATGGCGACCCCGTCATCTCGTGGAAGCCTTGCAGAACGTCACCGAAACCACGCATGGCTAGAGCTCGGCCACATGCTGCGAAGCTTTATATCTTAATCACTACTAACCTCATCACTCACTTCATGTACTAGATCGCGCCTAGGAACCATCTAACACTCGCACCGCCTGAACATCCTCTCGCCACCACCTACAGCGCTTCCACCATGACAGAAGCCGACACCACATCTGCGCCTCCGCCCTCCAGCTCCGACATCGAAATAACACTCACCCACCACGGCAAAGCAATCACATTGTCATTCGCCCAAGATGCCACAATCTCCGACCTCTCCGAACGCGTCGCAAACGACTTGTCAATACCGCCCTCCAACCAAAAGTTCCTCGTAGGCGGCAAGATCGGACTCCAGAAACCACCCTTCAAGAACGCCTCCCTACCACTCATCGAGCTCGTCGGCAAGAAAATAACCCTCATGGGCAGCACGACCGAAGCCGTTTCCTCCCTCAACAACACCATATCCGCCGCATCAGCGCCCCGGCGCCCCGGTCCCATCAAAGCCGCCCTGCCAGCGCGCAACCGCGATTACAAGAAGATACAAGAGGAGGCGCAATACACATTCCACACGCTACGGCCGCTGCCGTATCTACCGAACCCAGATCGTTCGTTACGGTTCCTCCAACGGCTTCGAGACGACGCGGGGATCAAAGCAGCGATGCGCACGCACAAGTTCAGCGTACCGCTGCTTACAGAGATGGACCCAGCCATGCATACCACAATGGAGAGTCGCACACTGGGCCTCAACCGCAACCAAGGCGAGGTCATCGAGTTGCGGCTCCGCACAGATGCCTACGACGGGTACCGCGATTACAAGACGATAAGGAACACGCTGTGCCATGAGTTGGCGCATAATGTCTGGGGCCCACACGACCGCAACTTCTGGAACTTATGCAAGCAGATTGAACGTGAGGTTGCGCGCGATGATTGGAAGAGTGGCGGGAGGAGTGTGGGGAACGACGAGTTTTATAACCCGGGGGATGAGGGAAGTGAGGAGGTGCATGATCATGGGGGGTGGACTGGGGGCGAGTTTACGCTGGGGAGTGCGGGTGGGGAGGGGAAGGTGGACGGGGGTGGTAATAGTAGTGGTGGTGGGATGGGTGGGTTGAGTAGGAGGGAGGTGCTTGCTAAGGCGGCGGAGGAGAGGTTTAAGAGGACGAAGGAGGTGGAGAAGGAGGAGCGTGCTGAGGGAAGTGGAAGTAGTGGAGCTTGATTGCTGTACAGCGAGTGGGAGGGCAGTCGGTGTGCGCGTATACCCTTTTGATTGCGCATTTGTAACTGTAGATTGAAGAGGTTGTATGTATCCTCATTCCGCTTCTTATATTGTATTATCACGTCTGTACATTAAGATGAATATATAAGCCAGTGGGTATCATCAAAAAGGTGTCCAAGTCTGGTATAGCCCTCTACTAGTATCAAAAAAGGTCGTAAAATAAGAGTATTTGCAACATATCCTCGGCAGTACAGGGAAGCTTAGGCTAAGCCTCGCGGCTTAGCACCCAAGGATTACCTAGCAAGGTAGCTCTCCTTACAGTAATTAGGTAACAACAATGCTCTACGTACAACTATAGAACTTGCGATAAACAACTATAGCTTGCTATTGCGGCGACAACAAAGTAACTAGGTGTTGTAATTTTAAAATAACACGAATCCTCTTACAAGAATATTTACTTGCACAGCTTCTCTCTCTCTCTTTCTATCTATTCTCTTCTTTCTTATTAACTAACGCTTATCTATTAAGCTTAGTCTCTCTAAATTCTTTAAACTCTCTACGATGTTCTTTATAATAACTACGTACAACTACTACTATATTCTCTAGCTTAATAGCTAAAAGAAGCAGTAGCGCGTTTTTAGGTCTCCTGCAGCAGAACCTATATACTTTAAAAACAATCTTAGCATACAACGTCTACATAAACATATGCAGAATAAACTAGAATTCTTAAAGCTTCTTAAAGATTACTTTAACGCAATCCTAGAAGAGCTTACCTCTGTTAAGGCTATTATTGTTTAGGATAGAAAAACTAGGAAGCAAGCCTTTGTTAGCGAGTAAGAAGTAATTAATATCTATCTTTACGTCTACGCAGTTATTAAAGCTGCTAAGATTCTACATCTTAACGTCTTGTTCTAGCAAAGCTAGCTTAAGTTATTAAAGAGGAAAGTATATTAGCTAGTAGAGAATTTAGATAACAAGGAGCAGGCATTTATAAGTAAGGTGTAGGCGGAACTTAGCGTGCGCATAATAACTGCAGTTCTTAAGATTGTAAATAGCTCTATCTAGGGCAGTAGAATAAGTTAGGGGATTTAGTTATAAGTGTTAGGTAATTAGTTGTATTTAGTTTAGGTACCTTAATTAGTAATAGAGAACGAATGTTATCGTCCTAAGGGCGCAGCAACAAAGTGGACAAATCCGAATCACGTCTGTACATGTCCATATCTCAACACCTAGATTTAGTGATTTCGGGTCTTGAGGGTTTATATTGTCACACGCAGCCAATGGCGCACCCAGGAGGGCCGAAATGTCGATCCATGCCTTCGGATAGGAGGAAGCCATAAGCTTTGTTTACCCCATCTTCACCCCAACTTTTAGCGCTGCCGCCAGTAGGTGCAGCCGATAACCTCCGCTTCTGCGTTGGCATCGCAGCTTTCCTTCTCTTTACTACATGCTTTGGTCGTCTTTTCTTTTCGCTACCTTCTTCCCGTTGAAGACACGAACCATCCGGACTACACCCATATCCCATCACCCACTACCTACCACCACTCTCTTACGTTTCTAGAGCCGTCGCTACCTACCTCGATACTCTCCACCACGATGTACTTCGTCATCTTTGCCCTCCTTATCGCCGCAGCCTGGGCGACCGTCGGTGTCTTGCTTGCGAAATGGCTTAAACAATCCGGCCATGCGAGGCCGTTCAAAGGGAGAGACTGGGATAGTAGAGAGCTTTATGGCGGTGGCTCGGGGTATGGGCGTGATATGGGGCTTGGGGGTCCGTCGAGTCAAGGGAGGGGGCAGGGGGGCAGGGAGAGGGGTGTTGGGGTTCCGCTGACTGGGGTGGGGAGGGTTAAGGGGTTTTAGGATGGGGATGGGATGGGATGAATATTAGAGACGGGTGAACATGGTGAGGTGTGGATAGATGAGGGATTGGTAAGACGATACGTCTTATCTGGTGACGGTTCACGGCTGACATCCCGCAGACTGACCGTCAACACTTTTGCAATTTACCGACCACGGTACTGAGGCTTAACTACCCCAGAAGATGAAGCCGAAAATCTTCCTATCTTTGGTGGGCTGGCTTTCGTATAGCGTTGGTGTTCTTAGCAGATGGGTCTAGTGGGCCTTTTTGTTCGCACGCAACTACTACGCACTTCACGCCGCCATCGCCGACGCGTTTGTTCGGTGCAGATGGCGAGATTGAGCTTCTATATGCTCAAACTGGCCGCTTCGACTGAACCGCTAGTTTGAGCATATAGAAACTCAGCATCGCCATCCGCATCGAATGCACGCGGTCTTTCGACACTGTTCGAATCTTTACGTCCCTTGTTCATTGTCTCCTCAACTTGAACAACGACGCCGCGGGTACATCTTCGTCGCTTATACAAAGACCGAGAGTCTTCTTGTTTGAAGAGCCTTTCCTTTCTAAACAACGAAATGGAACCTGCGTACTCTGTCCAACTTCACTGTTTGCTCCCACCTTCAAAGTGAAAGTAGTCCAAATGGCAGCTGGAAGGCGATACTATACTTTAGCGTCACAGACCTTGCGTGCCACGCAATTGCCCAAGTCCACGCTAATTACAGACACTACGACTATGTTGCTACCTGGACAGGCTCACAGGCCCCGTCCAACACCCCCGCCATATGTCGTCGCGAAGACACTGACCCAATATCTCTTCGGCGAGACCATACTCCCGTCCTTCCTTCAGCGATACGGCGATATCTTGCTGGCAATCACAGGAGGCGCAGCTGCAGCGACAGGGCTATGTTGGTTCTTCCAGCACAACAGATGTAATCGCAAAAGGATCAGGCTGGCTGTCTTCCATGTTGTCCGCACGCTTCAGATCATGCCTGATCTAGAAGGACGGATGGAGGAGATGCCAGAGGATCTTTATAAGGAGATTGCCCGTGAGGTCGATCGGATGATCGGCACTTATTTGACTGCATCAGAGGGTGAAACTACCTTTAGGATGGCTAAGCGTAAGCTTTTGGATGATTACGAAGCATTTGAAAGAGAAAGAGAGGCTGAAAGGAGAGTAAGAAGGAGGGTAGACGATGCGGCGGCAGGAGATGTGCCTGAGATCACAGTTCAGTCTTCATCTTCCACAGGTCAATCGGAGGGAAGTCTGATTCATGAGGAAGAAACACAACAAGATGACGAGCTAGAAATGTATATGCTAGGCTACAATCCGACAGCATCACACTCAAGCCCTGTACGAGAGCGGCCCTCGCCCACAGCTCCCGATATCGATCTCAACTTCTCGGACTTCAGGATACCGTCATCGGAACAGAGTAGGGGGAGTCGCGGAAGTCCATCCAGTCTAGGCTTTTTGAACAATTACTCCTCTTCGCCGCCTGCACGGCCGTCAAATCCGACGCCTCGTCGGGGTCGTGGCGGTCCATACAGTAGCGACGATACACCTTCGCCACAGCGCCTGGGCCCCGTAGACCTTTCTAGTGAGGATGTTCCATCTGGCGAGGACGAACAGCCGATCCTTCGTCCATCGAATCCTACACCTCGTCGTGCCCAAGGCTCTATAGGTGTACAAGTCGACACGCCACGGCCGAAGACTGCGCGTGGGAATAGAGCTGGCCTCAACCAAGGGAGCCATGTCACACATATCTCTGCTGTCTTTCCAGAGGACCACTCGCCAGTGCATGAAGCACCTCAGCCGCGCATCACCGGCAGAGACATCCGTGAGCGTCGCGAAAAGGAACGTGCTTCGAATGCCGTAAAGACAGCTCGGAAGCCTCGCAACACTATCCCGCTAGAACAGCCGCCCAGCGCAATGGCTGTGAGAACGCGAGGTGAAGTTCCCGGGCACTGGCTTCCTTCCATACGAGAAGGCCTATCTCCGCACGTGAGCCCTGCGGAAGGCACAAAACAGTATCGCGTTGCGGAAAGTCGCAAGCTTAACAAACTGCTTCAGGGCGAAAGGGCCGAACGCCGTAATTTCCGGAAGTACATACCGCCCATTGGCGAGGAGCCGCATGGACATGAAGAAGAGCCACTCGCCGAGGCAGCGGAGGCGCGAAGACAAGAAGTGCTTCCTGAGTCCAGTCGAAGTGAGATACCATCCAGATTCGCATCGATCGATCCAGAAGTTGCACAAGACGATGATATTGTACACGTCGAAGGCGCCACCGAATCCTCCTCATCGACAGGAGCTATCATGACGGCCTCGCCAGCAGTCCGCCACGACAACCCATTACCTGCTGCTGCGGTTCAATCCTCTTCGCCAAGATCAAAGTCATTACCTCAGCCAGCGACCAAAGGCCAATCGCGAAGGTCGGCGGCTCCTAGCCCACCTGAGAGGCCTACGCCGAAGCTTGCGAAAACGTCAGCCGCGAAGGCGCTGGCTAAGACACCTGCGGAGACACCTGCGAAGCAAAAGGCTCCTCCAACAACCGGGACGCGGAAGAGCGGAAGAATTGCAAAATTGAAGGGTGAGAAGAAGTGAACATTAGTGCTGAACTGAGGTCTGTTTAGGGTGTCGAGGAGGTGCTGGTCGATGTTTGCATACTTCAATTGATGATTCGAATGCCGCTTGTTATAGTTTATCTCACAGTCATTTTCTGGCATGCTAATGCATCGTTATGCTAATTGGAGAGGGCCATGTTGTCGTGATCAAAATTGCCACTATGCCTTCAAATGACGATGTGACGTCATCAGCCCTTCTCTCAATCATCTTCATCTTCGTCTTCTCTTCGTTTCCGATCATTTCAACCTCAACGGATTTTGATCGTGACCTGCCAAAGTTTGCGCATATCCCAACAAAACGTCTACATAGTCGTAATAGGGTCGCTAGCAACGGCCCTGCATGGTGGCTGACTGTCAGCTGCTCAAGTGATCGGCGTATTGCCCTGGTTTCATTCATCACTGCCCGAACCATGAATTCAGGCCTACAATTGGAAGTCAATTCTCCAGACTTTCGCGGTGATGATAGGTTCGCCGACTACCCGTGTTGACAGTCTCGTGCTATGCGCCACACGGCATGGCTGTTCACCGGCGACGCCGAAGTGTCATCTTCACACAACAAAAAGATAAATCCTTCGTGATGATAAAAGTATAAAAATCTCACTTCTGAGCTCACATAATAGTTTCACCAACATAGCTCCACAGTTTCCGTCATTATCCAACAATTCAAACAACCACCCGCCACAGCCACCACAACCACCACAAATGACCAATCCTCAAACCCCACTCTCCCCCTCCCACTTCCACCGCATAACCAACACCGCCAACCCCTCCAACCCCACCCTCGACATCGTCAACGACCACGGCACCCAAAGCAGCACTGGCCTCCTCAAACTAACCCGCGAAGGTTACTACTCAGGCCAATACTGGGCCTTCATACCCTCAGCCTCAGACCCCAATGCCGTCCGCCTCCGCACATGGTGGCTAGGCCCAAACCGGCTCCTCGATGTCTACGCAGACGACACGTCGAAAGCGCTGTTGAGGCGGGCGGACGACACACCGCATGCGCTTGATTGGAAGGTGGGCGAGTGGGGCGATGGGACGTGGTGGATTGGGAATGAAGTGAGTGGTGTACTGAAGGTTATGGATGTTGGTGGGGAGGACGGGAGGAGGGTTGTGTTGAGGGAGAAGGATGAGGGGGTTAAGACGCAGAGGTGGAGGATTGAGGTTATCAGGGAGATTAGTGAGGACGAGTTTTATGATAGACCTGCTACACCAGGGGAGGGAGAGGGCTGCTAGGAAATGGATAGTTGGAGAAGACAGTGCATGAGGGATGTTGAGTGATCTATCCAGTCGTGTGATTCGTGTCTATTCGTTCCATCTATATACACATGTTCTTGATGCGAAATATTCACGAAGCGGGAGCAGCGGTGCCGTAAGGAATGGCCTTGACGCTCTCAATGTCGACGTAACCGTACTTGCTTCCGGTCTTGTCATCGGAGAAGCCTTGAGCCCAGGTGCCCATGTCCTTCTGGAAAGCCTCAAAGTTCTTCTCGTCGCTCAGGTCGATAGGCTGCTGGTCCTTGCCCAACTGCCTGATCTGTGTTCCTGCCGCAACATTGGTGATACCGAAGTCGTTGTCGTCGGTCAACTGGTTGATCGCGGCGTGAACCTCGCCGTTGATGATCTGGCGAGGAAGCTCGGGCTCCTGGGTGACCGGACGAGCGAGACCAACACCGTCGACGGTGTTGAGGGCGTCGACCATGGCGGCGGCGCTCTTGAAGCCACCAGTGACGTAGGTCCTGGTCTTGGAGAGCGAAGGTGTGATCTTCTCGGCAAAGTCGAGGAAGAAAGCCTCACGCTTCTTGGTGGACTCGCGCTTGTGACCGAAAGCAAGCTGCTCGTAGGTACCACCAGACAACTCAACAAAGTCGAAGCTGTTGTCCTCAAGCAACTTGCAGAGAGTTGCGGCCTCCTCGGTACCGAAACCCTTGTCTTGGAACTCAACGGAGTTGAGCTTGATGCCAAGGACGAAGTTGGAAGATGTGCGCTTGCGTACTTCCTGACCAATCTCGGTAATGATACGTGCGCGGTTCTCGAGAGATCCACCGTACTTGTCGGTGCGCTTGTTGGTGCTTGGGGCGAGGAATTGTGCGAGCAGGTAGCCGTGGGCGCCGTGAAGCTGGATACCGTCGTAACCGGCCTTCTCAAGGTACTCAGCTGCGTGGGCGAAGCCCTCGATGACGTTCTTGATATCCTCGTCGGTAGCGGCGCGTGGCTTGGCGAAGGTCATGCCCATGACGTTGCCCTCTAGTTGTACGTCGGACGCGGAGATTGGGTTCTTTTGGATGCTCTCGGTGACCTGGCGACCTGGGTGGCTGACCTGTCCGACGATCAAAGAGCCGTGCTTCTTTGACTGTGTCGCAAGCTCCTTGAACATCTCAAATCGCTCGCCCTCGTATTTTGAGCCGCGGGGAATGATGGGGTTGCCGGCAGCCTCCAGGTGGTCGTATTCGATCATGATGTTACCAGTTAGGATGACGCCGAACTCGCCCTCGCCCCATCGTCGGTAAACGTTGACGAGGTTCTTGGAAGGAACACCACGAGCCTCGAGGTTCTGAGCATCCCATGATGATAGACGCTCGGTCATAGCACCCTTGAGGAATCGGTTCTGGGCAGTCTTCTTGGAGAAAGCAAAGTCGAGAGGCTTTGCCAAAGGCGCAGGGTCCTTCTTCTCGGCTTCATATCTTCTTGGTGCCATGGTTGCGGGAATGTAAATGGGTATCTAACAAAAAAGACAAAAGTATAGGGTAAGAAGACTGATGTTTGGAAGTTGTGTGTTGTGAGTGAGATGCGAACTTGGCGTGCGATCAATGGCGGTCTATAAGTGTTTCGTTAGTGCTTCATCAGTTTTGCATTTCTAAGCTTTTCCACGAGTATGTCGCTAAACAATGACGGACTCGTCCGAGATTGATCCATAGCCACGTCATAGAGATACGCTATAGGCTAGGGCCCGGCTGCGACACCTCGGCAGATGTAGGCAAAGCACCGTGATCTAGATGCGCCTCTTGCGGGATGCCAGAAGATCGCGTTAGGCTATATAGTGGAAAAGAGGGTTGTGGGGTTGAAATGTCGCGCTGGAGCAGCGGATTGCGTGGCGTCATTCTCGCGTTACAAATCGTTCAGGAACCGGACGAATCGGACCGACGATGTTGCGGTTGCGTGCTATCACGTGTCGGTGAGCTGTCAGGAACGCCATCGTCGGAGCACGATCCCATCCGACACCAACACCACGCGTTCAGCGGGTGCCACGACCCATCGATTGCTGAGATTGCTTCCAAAGGTTTCTAACGCGTTCCTCAAATCGGCGACGTTGTTCCCGCTACACCGATGAAGGGGTCCGCCAACCGGCCGACTCGCCCTCTCCAAAGAGCACCAGATGATAAACATCTCCAACACGCGAATCACTGATAGACCATGACACCTTCCAATATCGACATTTTAACGATTTTATGGCACGTGACGAGTGCAGGTGTCTAAGATACACGGTGGACGGCTACGCTATGTTGGATAGCATCGCCTCCAAGTTCCTTCGCTCCCCGAAATGCTCAAAGCGTTTGTTGCTTGCCAAGATGTATGCGATCGCCCTTACTCCGCCAGCACGGATAGTCCGGTGAAAGGAACCTCCTGGCACTTGTTCTGCTCGGTAATGAGAATCTCGTCACCAGCCTGGCAGTTGGTCGAAGCGAAGACGCGGAGAGAAAGGCCCTTGTTGCTGTCGAATGCAACACTCTTGCCAGTGTTGAAACCCTGACACTTGTTGTTACCACCTTCTCCAAAGTTCTTGTACTGGCCGGTCTCGCAGTTCTGGAGGGAGAGATACAAGTCAGCTGGTATTCATGATGAGGATCGCCTCGTTGAGGCTCACATCAAGATATGACTTACGCTAACGGAGAAGGCGCTGACCGCGGGAGTGAGAGCGGCAGCAATGGCAATGACGGAGGTAAGAGTGAACTGCATCTTAAAGTTCTGGGAGGCACGATCAGCTGGAGGCAAAAGTAAGAGATCGACAAGACGCACTGTTGGAGTGTTTGAGGTTGAAGTGGGAGTGAGTTGCTTGAGGTTTGAGGATCGTGGTGGATGATGAGCTCTCGAAGAGGCAACAGCCTGATACTTATACCTCATCCAAGCTTGACATGCCATGCTGGAAAAGCACAGTATCGACATTCCAAGACGCGTTCACAGCACAAGAGCGAAGCTTACGATCAACCTCTCCAGGCGCCCAACAGTGGGCTCTCTACTCGGGGTCGCTATGCCAGGTCGAAGTGGCTAACTCTCGGAAGCCTAAACGTCACCGCATTCTGAGCGCAACAGGTCACTGCGGATGTCTTTAGGCATCCAGTGACTGAGGCGAATTGGTGGTTGGCAGACGCAGATCGACGAATCGTGATACACCGAGGACCAACAAGGCACGTCTCTCAAGAGTACGCGGGCTGCTCGCAGCGTTATGGCCCTTGGCCAGTCACCCCAATGAGCAGAGTGTATCTTGGTCCTGCTTTGGTAAGACCGCTCGTGGCAAGCTGACGTTCGAGACGATATCGCATCCGTGAGTATAATTTCTAGTTCCAGTGTTTCCTTCCCAGTGGCCGGCGCTTCACTCCATGCTAAAAGGCTGTCTATCGATGGATGAGGCGTATAGGCATCATTATTCGTCATCTTTGGGTAACACTTTCGTCGCCGCGCATGCGATGATTGATGAACAACGAACGTTCAAACGCTTGGCGATGGCAGGCCTTACACTACCGGTACTTGTTACACCCATGTACACGTACCATGATCAGCAAAGCCAAGGAGAATCGGAGCCCTGAAGATGTTCCAAGCCCGGCCCAGACGCTCTCACCACTCTTTCTTATAATTACGATCGTCAACAACGAACCCACTCATGGCGACGCCAGCCACGATCCGACGACGACACAGGGCACTTCTTCAATCCTCACCGTTGCGCATCAGAGACGGGCAGGAAGCTTCCACCCGCTCATACAGCGGTTTCGCTTGCCTTAGGCCACCATCCAAGATCAATTCGTTGGAGTAACTTCGGTCTATCCACAGCCAAGATCGCACCTCCACATGTGTCCCGCAAACCAAGGCGGTATGTAAACATATAGATATCTGGGCAGCTTGGCTCATCACCTTACCTCTTCAACTCGATACTATCTCTTTGGTCGTTGAAGTAACATGCTTTCAATCATGATGACATATCAAGACTTGATAGCAGCCCATCAAGACTACGTACGACAACAGATACTACACCGATATCCGCTATCCGTCAGATCAGAGGATGCGGGATTTCGCGGCATGCATTCCTTCGACGGGCCGGTAGCAGGAGTCTGGGGAGCGGACTCACGCGGCCCGCCTGATCTACGTGAAAGAAACGCCGATGCACGCGCATCTACCCACCTACGCGCGTTCTTTGGGGCCTGGAGAACACTGTTTCCCGAAATGGGACATCTTGCGATCATTCATATGTTACCAAGCAATCCATTTTAGGCCCGGTGCTAGTTCGGTCCTCCCACATCGCCGAATTGGCCAACCCAGATCTTGGCCAGCGGAACGGTGGAGTAAGGCAAGCAAGGCATATTTGTAACACAATAGTACATCATGCAAAGTCAGTGAGCGTAAAGATGAGAACGACGCCCGAGGTTGAGCTGTCTTGATTGCTGGGATTATACCCAGCCCTATCTGAAGGATGGTCGAACTATTCATTAGCTGACATATTTCACTGCATTTCTACCAAGAGCTGGTTCTAAGGGCCACCACAATACGCTCTTCCAAAGATCTGCGCCCGCTAGATTACAGCTTATAGAACGTATAAAACAAATTTGAGTAGATTACATCTAACTACCAAGCTACTCAGACCTCTTTCTCATCCCTTTCATCGCTCAGTGGGCGAATTCAAGGAACTCAGAAAGGCGCTCAACAAACGATACGTAGAGCTCGACAAACGGCAAGCGGTTCTCAGATATCAATCGTTTCCTCGTATCCCGGACAAGGCGTAATAGAGGCAGAGAATCGATTCGAAGGTCAGCGCGGGCCCTCGTGCAGGAATAGAGGATGCGGCGTAGCTCCCGTGAGTAAGGCGCATCCTCTGAAGTTTCGAAATTCTCAGGCAGCATTGCCTTCTCGTCCAGACAGGTAGGAGACACGACGTTCTGCACAACACACCACGTTAGTCGGCCGATCTGATACACATCGACGGCTTTGGTGCCATATTGACCCTCCGGTGGCACGTATGCAGGGTC